ATGTTTCCTGAATGATGGAAATGACTGTAGAAGAGAGGTCTGTTTCTTGGTGCTTATTGAACCAAAACAGTCAAATATCCCATCCAGCTGGAGAAGCTGTGTACAGCGTCTTTTAGGTGGCTGAGATGTGTAGGGCAGGAACCACTTCATCAGAGAGCTGATGGGAGGGAGAGTTCAGGGCATAGTCCACTAATTGGAGATGACTTCTACTCCCCTTGTACCCCAGAGATTTTTTTAGCTGGGTTGGCTGTGAGGCTCAGGGATGGTGTCACCCAACAGTGTTGACCTCAGCACAGCCCTGTTTCCTGGGACGGTGGTTGGTACGCTCAAAATCTGCAGACTGGCTTTCATCTTCAAAACTATCAGCAGTTCTGGCTGTATGAGCTGCTGCGCCATCCTGCCAATACTTAGCAGAGGCAGCTCAGGTGCCGGTAGTTCAGTCACGCAGTTTCCCACAGCAGCCCGAGGATGAAGCAGTTGCTCTTTTGCCTGAGCTTTCCTCGGCATAAATGTACGTAGCAGTCCTGCATCTTAATGGATGGAAATGTGTTACAAGATATTATATGTTTTTTATAAGGTGAGCTTTTTGTTTTGTGACATTTTCTCCCCAGGTGAATTCCACATTCTTCTTCCAGTACTACTTCTCAGCACCTTACACCTTTTAGGAAATTACATTCATTTTTCTGAACCCAGGAAAGCAAACTGCAGTGTGGTTTTCAAAAGCTCAAGTAAGGTCTTTGTAGGCTGCATGCTTATAATTGGGTCCTGCAAAATATATATACAGCTTGTATCCATTGTAGGAATATGAAGGTCTGCGGCTTTGGTTTTAACTGGTGATATAGCCAGCTCATTCTGTTTGCAGTGTCAACAAGACTTCTACAATGAGCTCTGAATTCACCACTCCGTGATTTTTGAACTCCATTCTAGACAAGCCAAGCTTCATAGTTTTACTGATTATACATGTTAGTAGTGTTAGCTAGTGAGGTTAAAGGGGAAGAGAACAATATGCAAGAAATTACTGACTAACATCGTGCTCTTCTTTTTGATAAATCTTACCCTGGTCTAATCTTAGCCTATCAAACTGAGTAATCTTGATGTGAAAACTGACCTGTTCTGCCTCTACTCATGTTTCCATCACATCTCCCCTGGGGGACAGAGGAGGAAAAGCTCAGTTGAAGTGAAACAAAGTATCCTGAGAGTGTAATTTTTATTCTGATTGTGTACTTGGGCATGTTTAGTTCTGACTGCAGATCTTGTAAACAGTAATGAATACACAGTTGCGCAGGATCACTTTTGCAAACATCTGCCACTGTGGAACCAATAACATCTTGCTGTTCCTTTGTATTTTCTGTTTCCCACGTCCATTTTTGCAAGTACTGGACTCTTTCATGCCAAGAATGCTTGAAAAATTATCGCATTTGATTAATTCTTGTGACTGTTTTATTTCAGATTATTGTAGCTGTAGTGTTTCTCTACTACTAAAATATCCCGTCTTTATTTGACTTAGTTCTCCATCCATATTCATTAATAAATTATAGAAACTAAGCAAGATGTCCACCTGTGAGGTCTGAAGGTAGGCACCTAACTCGATATTATAGGTATGTAAATGTGAGTCTTGCTTCTCTGCTCCCTTCTTAGCATCTGTGGGGGTGAACAATGCACTCAGTACTAATAAGATTTAGGTGACATTTTGAGGGACTTAGGTTAAGGATCTAGATCTGTTCTTTATGTACCAAATTTCTCATTTCTCCTTAGGTAGGGCACTGGATTTGCTCTAGGCTGAACATGTGAGGTTCTAGGTAGCACAGAGAGGTGAGGACTTAACTTCCCAGAGCAGACAAACTGTCTTTCAGCTGAGACACCTTTTGGTGGCTGGTTCGTGTGGCCCAGGTCGTAACTGGGGGTTGCTCTGAGTGGGCGTTTGTGCTCTGACATCGTTCCATCCTCTCACAGCCATTTCTATATGCAGTTGGGATTGGAAAAGGTGAAAAGGGCCATCTGTGGGCTAATGAAAGATACTTGGGCAACCTGTAACAACCACTGTCACGTCCTCAACTTGGCCGATACCTGCTGTGCATGCACTCGGCTTGGCTCAGCAGCAGATCCCTTCACTCCCAAGTGGTGGGCTGTCCCGGTTCGCTCCTGCCAGCTCTGCAGGGGAGCTGTGGTATCTGCAGTGCTCCTCCGATTAAAACATTTCTGACTGACGCGCTTCCTGGGAAGAGCTACGACAGTTCATCATAGTACAACTGTGAATTGGTTTTGTGCCTACCACTGTCCTTTCTCCTGGTGTAACTGTCCAAAAATATGTATATATATATTTAGACCACAGTTGCAGAACAGCCTTGCAATGAAATCTGGGGATATTTGCATGTTTGATGCTGTTAGAGTCCTGCACCCCTTCAGCTGCTCAGCGGTCATACTGCTGTGTGGTCTCACTTTAGTTCTTTGTTGCTCCTTTTTCTGGATAGTTGTTTTGCACCGGAGGGGGAGTTTGTGTGTGGGTGTTTGAATGCTGCTGTTTGCTGTTTTTTAAAGGACTTCTAGCCCTCCCATGGGGTTACTGCAGCAGGAATTCATACCTGTGCTACAGCCCAGCATACAGACTGCTGACAGGTACCAAGTGGAAAAACCCCACTCATAGTGTGCTGTGTTTTGTCAACATGTTTTACTGCCCATGGTTTTCAAGCAATTTGTTACTCAATATTTATCTTTTTTTTTTTTTTCCATTTGTACCTACATTGCCTGGCAAACCATGTTGTTCTATTATAACATTTATTTTTCTTTTTCCCATAAGTTGCCAGTATCTGTGTCCTTTCAATTTAATAATCACTGTTGAATTTAAACCAAAATGTAGAAATCCCCCAAACTGATACTGATGTTCAATCATGTATTAGCAAGAATATAACACTTTATTTTCAAAATACTGATCACCAGATCAGTTTGTAGCTACTTCTCTTCATTTAAGTTGTTCTGAATTCTGTTTTCTGCTTTCCAGCTGTTACAGCACACATCTTCAAAAGTGCTGCTGGTTTGCTCAGTAGCTGTAGGTTGCATATTCACATTTAGATTGTAACTGACTGTAGCACTCAGCTGCCAGCAATGTTTAAAACAGTAAAGATGGAAACCAGGGTGGCTTATCCTGTAACCTCTGAATATGCCAGAGTATTTTCAGCACGCTTTTGCTTCACTCAGTGAATTGCCCACCAGACTCCAGGCTAGTCCGTCCTTTGCCTTTTCCACCTGTTAGAGAGGTCTCTACAGTTTCAGCAAAGTCTCTTCTCAGATGCTGGACTTGCTGATTTAAGTGAAGGTGGGGTGGCACTGTTGGTGAGGGTAGTTCCCAGACTTTTCCCTTTCTTGTTTCCAGCATCTCTGGATTGGCATAGGTGCCCTCACCCTTTATTTTTTTATTTCCTTTCTGTCTTTCAGTGTGCTTGCTGGGTTCAGTCCAGCTCTTCCCTTCTTACCCAGGACTTGTCTCAATGTTAGCATTATGCTATTCTCTCTAATTTAATTTATGCTGCTACTTTAGTAGTGCTAGGGCTCTCACTTCAGGGCATACCTTTTGCTTCCCTTCCCAACTAGGTCTCGCAGGTAGATGTTACAAAGTCTTGATCTTAACCAGTTCTAGACCAGTGCAAGTGTAGTGCTTTGGCACTGCAGAACATTGCCTTAAGGACAAGACTTAGGTATCAAGGCTGCGGGCCAGAGTGAGGACAAAGAACTGTTCATAAGGATGGCCTTTAACAGGGCAATATCCCAGGAGTTTTCCCAGCCAGCATCACTTTAGCTTGCTCAGTAGCTGGATCTTTGTTCTATTTGGAAACAAGTCCTGAACTTCTGCACAGAACAAATATAATCCCTGCCTGGTGTCTATGTCCACAAGAGCTGGCTTCTACTGATGCAGACTCACAGCCTGGCTTGATTTGGGCTTTGTGTTGGCCTGTGAAGTGTTCACTGTGCCTTTCATTAGTCAAAGAGTTATCAGTGCCCACAGGATTATATCGCTCCTTCCTGCACTTTCCTACTGGTACAAGATGCCCTCTGCTCTTTATGGTGCCAGCCATCTGTCCCCTTCCTCTAGAAAAAGCAGGTTCATCTTTTTACTCTTCTTTCAACCCCAACCATTTACAGAAGTAAATACAAGGAGGAAGTGGCCTGGGCAGCAGAGGTGGAGAGAAAAAAATTAATTCCTTTCCCCAAGCAAGGAGAACTTTGTACATGCTGGGTTAAGAGAATAGATTTTCCTGTTAGCCAGAACAGCAACTTTTTTTTCCGCCCTAACAGTCATAATCAAAGCAGGGAGAGCATGAACTTCTAACTGTTGAAAGACTTGTAAGCTATTAAACACGATTTTAAAAGTATAGCATAGCACAGGCTACCTGGCTCTCCTCCTATAAACTCGGGTATGGACAGTAAATATATAACAAGTGACATGCAGCACCTTTTAAATTACGGTAGTGCACCAAATAACCATTATTTGATTTTGTCTGTCTCTCTCTCCTTCATGGCTTAAGGCATCACACAGTTACCCGGGGTATAACTAAAGGAGTGAAAGAAGATTTCCGCCTGGCCATGGAGCGCCAGGTCTCGCGCTGCGGGGAAAATCTCATGGTGGTCTTGCATAGGTTCTGCATTAATGAGAAAATCCTGCTGCTTCAGACTCTTGCTTGAACGGACTGGATTATGATGCAGTGTCTCTTAGAGAGGGCAAGGCTCATAGCGGTATGAACAGAAGTGTGGCAGTGGAAAAGCACTTGTCCAGAGTGTCAGAGAAGGTCCCTATGAGTTACTGGTTCTGCAATATACAAACACTAATCAGGGTTTGTTCAGTGCTTAGTTTTCTTATGTGGGAAGATCAAACTTTATAAATAAAACTTTGTTTAAGAAGTCTTCTGTAATGTCCTATTTATTTATTTTTTTTTTCCAGACTGTTATACTAAGGTGCGCATCTTAGTTCCTTCTGTCTTTATACATACACAGAAAACATAGCAGGGTATTTCAGGTTTTTTTTTTTATTAGTGCTAGTTTGGAAATCACAGCATGAGTGAATTTCTGGAGTTTCTAGAAACTTATCTTACATTGAACTGGTCTGCTATCTCTTCCTTTTTTGGCTGAATTCTATTTGTTTTGCTGGTTTTCAGATTCAGGGCCCTTACCTAAATCCATTTATAAAGAGGATTGGTTTGACCCGACTTTGGTCATATCCAAGTGATTATACAAAGTCTGCACTCTTAGAGTGTAGCACATGAAACTCAGGCCTCATCAGTGCTAAAGGTGTGCAACACAAAGGCCCAGAACATGCACCAACAGGCTGCTGATTAATAAGCCAATAGAAGAGATCTTTGGCAGCAGGATCCTAAACCTAAGGTTTTGATCCAAGAGCAAATTGGAAGAACACAATGAAGAATGACCAGTTGAGTCACCACTTTCTGCAGCATGCTGTCACAAAGAGGTGGCCCTGGGCTTTCTCAGTCACTGCACTGCCCACCCAAGTGCAGGGCTGAGGATGCTGCTGGTGCTCCCAAGTCAAAAAAATGTGTGCCAGGAGCCAGGGTGGTGCAGGCATGGGGCAGGTGCCAGGGGTGTGCACAAACCCAGGCCGGGTGAGTAAGGGGGTACCTTGTCAGATGCAACAGCCATTCCCACAGTCCCATCCTGATAATAACCCCTTGCAATCGCCACCCAGATCCCTTGCAGTTCCTTTCATAAGCACCATCAGGCTGTCTTTGACTGCCCAGCTGTTGCAATATGTTCAGTTTCTCTATATGAAGGAGGGAGATCAGTAAAATATTTACAAAATACAGAAAACAGAAAGAGAGCAACTGCAGCAGCCTAAGTATTTGCTAAATAGGAAAACACTGTCCCTTAAATCACATAAAAGTCTTGATGACAGCTTCCATGGCATTGTAAACTTGAACTAGTATCCCTTTTTAGTCATACAGCCTAGCATGAGTGGCAGTATTTGAGGCTACTCCGCCTTATATGCACTTGCCCCATCAGAATCTAGGCCCATTACACTTTGACCATGTCTGTTAGATTTTCCAGAATATTCTTCTCCTGTAAAGTAAATAGGATATTATGACCCAAAGAGTTGTCGCGGTGAGGTTTTGAGTCAGATGCTCTGCGTGGGATTGACTGTCTTGCATCTTCCACTTAAAAGGGAAATAGTTTTCAAACACTTCGTGTCCAATGTAGACCAGGATTGAGTTCATTCCTGAAAGTAATCACAGGTCATACCATCTGAAAGAGCAGGTACGAGCTCGCTTCAGAGTGAGCAGGCAGAGGCATGCCAGGCTTACAAAGCAGAGTGGCACTGAGACAGCAGCAGCAAATCGCAACAGCTAATGTTACTTGCCCCAAAGGTGCTACACACGTGTGCGTTCAAATACAGTCTGAAGGGTTCTCTCCCCCAAAACATTTATCGAAAAGAAATACGGACAACTTATATGCTAAATTGAAAATATGACCAAATCGGCATCCTGCAATTCTATTGACAAGGAGAATAGTAACAGTTATTGTCCTCAGGGTGGCCAAGAGCCAACCTATTCGGTCAGATCTACTGCCTTTACAAACACATGCTGACTGCCCTTCAAAGCTCTGGGATTTCTGTTAGGAGATACAATACCATGCTGTGGCCCTACCCATCTTCCTGTCCAGACACCAAAGCGGCTGAAAGGTTCCCTCTGCCGTGGGTTTGCATTCTGTACTTGGGTGTCCGCCAAGAGCCCAGTGTGGTTAAAACCACAGGGGGATGCTTTGGGAGACAGGCTTATCTAAAAACACAGACACAGAACCTACACAGCTGCCCAGGGGATTTCATCTTCCACGTCTTCAGAAGTGGTAGTACTCTGCTGACAGGCCTTGGAGTTTCGCATTGGGTTACCCAAGTCTCAGCAGCCCTTTCCAAAACAAACTACGAACCAGCTGTGGTATTTTGCTTGGTACTAGGCAACTGTTCCCTGGGACCTTAACTCGGCACCAAACTGAGAACAGTCATTGGGCAATAGCAGCTTCCAGCCCTCATTTAAAGATCTGACAGTCCCTCTCTCCTGAATATCTGGCCTTGAATGTCCCAGTTCTATGCAAAGATTCAGTTCAGGTTAATCATTCTGACATCCTTCAGGTTACCTCATCCTAAATCCCAACTCTTTTAAAGACAAGGGAAGCACAGAAAACATCAAAGGATAGTATCAGTGCAGAAAGGGTTGGAAGGAATACATTTCTGCTATGATTTTACTGACCTGGGTAGAAAAATGGAGCACCCGACCACAGTCTCTTGACATCCACAAGGTAATATATGAGCAATAAGAGGATGAAGGCAAAGCAGCTCATGGTTGTCACATACGATATTGACCTACACACATTTTCAGTAGAAAGATTTAGAGAACTATGTGATACAGACATCTCAGTATAAGAAAGGTAAAACATTCTCCAAGGTAAAATAGTAATTTTAACAAAATCATACGAACAGTTGTATCTCGGTGCTTACCATAAGTTCTTGTTTATGGGAATAAACCCTTCTTCTTTAGAACATTTTGTCAAGATAGCAGAAATAATTCCCTGAAACAGAAAGTTGCTAAGGTTTATATAACCACTGCAATGTGTTTCAGAAATACTAAGTTTGTGTTACATAAAAATACACGTGTATTAAAGAGCTACATAAGTATATGTCTTACCATTACTATGCTCCACATGACAAACCGACTCATAATTTGTTTGTGCTGGTCTCTGTAGAGCAAGATAATTTTTCCTGCCTAATAGAAAAAGAATACAAAAAAAATGAATCAGTGCCCATAAATGTAACTACATGTCAAGAGCCAGATATATCTGCCACCAGCTACCTGTGCTAAGACAGAGAACATGAATAGGATTTATAAAAGTGGCTGAAAGGCTCAGAATGGGAACTCTTTTCAAGGAAGGGGCACGGATATTTAAATGCAACCCACTCAGCAACGGAGGTGCACCTTTTCTCCCTTCCCTACTGTTTTACCACCGAGGAAGGGGACAAGCAACTTTGTTAACGCCATGTGGCTGGAGCTCTGTCTCCCTCAGCTAGGACTGCACGGAGGAACGTCACCGCACGGACTCCCCAGCCAGCACCAGCAGCTTCTCCGCAGCGCCACGTTGCGCCCTGGCCTGCTCGGAGCACACGCTCCTTTCCACGCACCACTAACAAACGTGTCCTGGTGACTCACTCGTTCCTCAGTGTCACATTTCCCTTCCAAGCTCTGCCCCGCAGAGCTTCCCCATCAGTTTTTACCCGGCGCTACATGCGGTAACATTCCTTTTCCCAGGACAAGAGTTTCAGTTTGGTTGACAACTGCTGCACAAACAGAAAAGCCAGCAATGACTAACTAGAACTGCATCAAAGAGTGTCGTGATAGCCTGTTTTAAACACCGGGGTGAGCTGTGAGCTTTTGATGTTGGGAACGCGAATGTGAACCCCTGCCTCCCTTGTGCCTGGGAAGGTGAGCACACCCAGAGCACCTGTGCGAGATGGCTAGCGCTGTGTGTCAGGCGGAAAATTGGCAACGGGGAACCTGTGCAGCTGTGACCTTTAAAACCGTATCTTTAAAAGGGAGCTCTGAAGTCTATGGATCTCAGCCCTGTTTTCCAACACGCAGAGCCAGCCTACACCCAACATAAGCCCAACCTTAAAACAAGCAAAGGAAGTTTCTGGGTGGATATTTTGCAAACTTCTTGTGTCCATCCCTTACAAAAACTGAGAAGAAGTCTTGGTTTATCTAATGCAGGCTACTGCCAGGTAAGATTCCACTTCTCTGACACTTATCTCAGGCTAAGTCAGCCTGAAAGCATTGCTCTGGAAAAGGTTTTGTTAGAACCCGTCTGGATCTTAAATAAAGAAACTAAGTTGCCTCCCCACTTCCAAGATTCCTTCAAATCTTCCCATAATGGCACACAGACGGAAAGAAAAGAGGTACCTGCAGTCCCAGAAATGCCATAAAAATGGTATTTATGGTCCCCAGGATCCCTTCAGGATCATACGGCATCGTTGTTTGGTAAACCACCTTAGAGAGAACGCACTTGTTACAGGGCACCTGAGCAGTCCATCTCCCTTCCCTTCCACCCCCCTGCAGGCATAAGTCCCCAGCCCCTCCGGACAGCTGTTTTCAGTGCTCACCTGCAGCTTCATACTGCAAACCAAAAGCTACTTACACTTGAAGAGGGATGCTGATACATGTGCTTTTCTCCAAGAAGCAAACGATCGATGTAACCAGCTGCTCCTCCAGTGCAGTTGGGATAGTTTCCAAAGTCTCCAATGCCCCCAGGACCAAGATAACCCCTAGGACAGAAGCAAACAGGTTGTGGCACAAAGTGTTGGTATGCGCCACCTCAATAGTAGCTGGTCCACTGGCCCAGCACTCTAAATGCTCAATGTTTTCCCTGGCCAGAGGCACACAGTGAAACACAGGTCCTACGTGACAGCTGGCTGGTGGCCACCCTGTTTTGATCATCCCAGTGCCATGAGCAGCTGGGTTTAGAGACAGGCAGTATCAGGAGCCTAAAGCAGTGCTTCAGTTCAGGCCTGGCTACTTGGCCAGCTGCCCCAGCTGCTCTGCAGGTGCTGACCCTCTGAAGGGGCAAAGATAGAGACAGGGATGACATTGCCATGATCATGTATCGCTGATCACAGACCTCGGAGAGACTTTAATCCTCTTCTTTAGGTGGAAAGGAACAATGATGTCACCTTTATAACACCTAGTACTTTAGTACCAAAGTAAAGAAAGTTTTTTCACATGATGGATGCTTCCCTTAACCCTGCTGGCTTAAAAGCTCTCCTGTTCATTCTTTCCCTATGGCTAATAACATTTATTTTCTACTCAGTAGAAGAAAACCAGTCCGATGCCCCATGGAAAGTAGTCTGAGTGTAGAGTCTTACCTGGGACAACCTGGCACTGGTAGCAAAAAGGTCAGGCAGAGCCAAATCACTTCTAACATCAGAATGAAAATCCACTGTGGCCAGTAGGGGAGAATATCCTGCAGAGCAGGACATGGCATCTCCTGTGTGAGATGGAGGGAGGGGGATATTAGCTTGGCAAGTAGAAACCATGCCCTTGGGGACATCCTGTACTTCCTGGCAGGCAGTCCCCCAGATACAAGAGGGAACTGTTGTCATTACAAAACTGGGTTCTACCAATAGACCTTTCATCTTCACAAACAATTTCCAGACACTTAGTTACTTGGGGGAGGGGGAGAAACAAACCAAAACAAAAGGCCACAATGTTTTTTAGCTTGGAAAATGTCAAAAAGGAATTTTGATTCATGAGCAGAACAAAAGCCTTTTGGGCAAACAGACTCCAGAAAGGCCAAAAAGGAGTATTAATTTCCCCTGCTGTGAAAAAACACTGCCAAAATTAACTGGACAAAACACAGGCCACAGGAGTCAGCACAGAGATGCCTGTCCCTGGCGTCCTTTGGCAGTGGAAAGTCATCAGATGTGTCTGGGAATGCCTGCTTCAAGCACCATCTGAATGGATCGGTGAAATCTTCAAATACAGAGGTGATAAAATGCAGACCGGCTCACTGAAGGGTGCATGTTCCCTGAAATTTTTGCCAGGTCACGTGGTGCTACACACCAGGTAAGATGCTCTGTGTTTTCTCATCCTTTCTCGTGTGTTCTCTGTGCCCAAACAAGAGTGAAATCTCCCAACCCCTACTGCAGTATCACTTGTCATCTCCCCACATATCTCACCAAGGTCTCACTCTCAGCCCCAGCTCTTGCAAACAGGAGTTCGAGAGCAGCAACCACCAGGTATGTGAATCCCAGCCTCTGGAGCACCCCGGGAATACGCAGATTGTCCCACGACACTGCAAAACACGCAAGCAATGTGGAAGAGGAGCAGACGTGCTCTTTTGTAAATACAAAAGCTGCCCTTCTCCAGGGAAAGCGGAGACCCACTGCACTGGCGGGTGCAGGGAACGCCTCCAACTCTGCCACCCCACTTTCTGTAAATCATAACCCTGGGCAAGCCACCTCTAAGATGATTAACAGTGCTTGGCACAGGGGTCAAACAGAGAGAATTGCACCGGTGCAGAACTGAACAGCATTCTACACGATACCATCAAACTGTCCCCATGCAGTTGGTCAGTACAGCAAGGCTAACGCTGTTTTCTTAACAGCCCAGCCAAGGAGGCAAGAACAACAGTTGCAGAAATACAAGGAAGAGAACAAGTTCCACTCACATGGTCCAAGGCAGTAATTGGGATTCACGACTATGATTCCCAGCAGTATTAGCAGAAAAGTCCTCCAGAGGATTTTCCTGAGCACCTTCCGCTTGGAACTTCCCCACCTCAGCATGGAGCTGACTGACAACGATATTGAAGTCCCCATGATGAACACAAACCTGGAGAACAGAGCAGATGGGAAATGGAGCTGACATGTCTCGTCACACATGTGCGTGACAGCAAACACTACAGCTAACAGAGTAGCCTGCACTGGCCCACGGAAATGCATGCATTGAGTGAAAGTGGAAAACTTTATTTCTTCTGATTGCTGATTCCCAAACAACTGAGCTTGCACTATGGGACCTCTCCATCTCCTTCAGTGGAGGCAATAAAGTTCAGGCAAGTAACTGCATTCTGGTTTTTGCAGCAATACATATGCCACCAAAAAATTCCATTACCCAAAGTCAAATTAGCTTATTCAGAACAGAAAAACACAAGGTGCAAATCTATGATTCAAATTCAGAACTGACCTGCTCCTCCCCTCTAGATTAGGTTCACAGTCCAAATCCAGCTCCCATCTCCAAGAGTAACCACAACCAGTGTGTATTTTAGAGAAGCATGCTAGGGGCAGATGGGATAATCGCTTCCCTGAAAGACCATTCTCTGGTTATAGGGAGATTAGCTTAATCCAAAATTTCCTTGGCTATTTTATCTCTGGCTACACATCAGTCCAGCTTTGAATCTTGCCGATTGACTGCCTTCAACACAGCAGCATGGCAATGAGCTCCTCAGGGATACTGCATCTCCACCAGCAAGGTCACCCTGGGCGTCCCACTGACATTGTGTGGGGGGAGCAAGGAGGGTGTGGGGCAGCCAAAAGCACTTAGCTCTTCTACTGGTTCATAAGGATGATGTTGTTATCTGGAGGGGCAGATTCCTATCAACTGTTTAACACAAATTCACCCCTCCAAATACATATCCACATGGAGGCAAGGTGCACACAACATTCTCCTTGCAACCCTTAACATAAAGAATCATTTGACACAAGAACTATTCTTCAGGAAGACTTACCATGGAAACACCAGATCTGCCACTGTTAATCCTACAAAGAAATACAAAGGAGCACGTTATTTACCTCAAAACCTCCCTAAATTTTAACAACATTATTGTTGAGTTTCCAGAGGAATTGCAGGCTGCTTGCAGTTATTTGATGCCCCAAAATCTAAAACACGTTATAAAGAAAACTTACAAAGAGCTAATCATCTTCCTTCCCTGATTTTACCATTCTTCAAAAATAGGGTCAGAACTGATTGCTGTGTCTTGGGAAAGATTTCAGGGATGGGATCCTTGCTATTCTCCACTAGAACAGCACGCTGCCCAACCCCGTCCCCACCAGCTTGCCAGTCAAGGCATTATGTTTGCACAGCATCGAGCACCATCAGCTTGACTGTGGTCATTAAGCAACACAGAAAAGTTAAAGATAGGAACTGGTGTCAAAAATTAAAAGGTTACACACAGAGAGTGATCTGAAACCATCCTGTCACCGTGTGATGAGCAGGACTATACGCTGCTTTGCCCATTAACCTGACAGGCCAGACACCCTGCCGAGGCAAACTGGCACAGTGTCCCTGCCTTCAGCCGAGCAACAGCTCGCTGCAGCAGCTGCAGTGCTGACCGTATCTAGACACCGCTGCAGTCAGAAACCAGATTAACTCTCTCAATTGTACTTTACCGTTCCAACTCTCATGTTTGAAGAACCAGTATTTTCCTCCTCCGTAGTTAACAAACACCATAATTATAAGAGAGAGCCTAAAAAAACAACAACAAAAACACACACAAAGCATCACATGTCGATGAAATACATGTATATGAACACACAGTTAATGTTTATCCCCCATTAAAACACTCCTAACTGTGAGATCTGGTTTATTTTATTTTTAAAGCAAGACTATACACAAGGTTTCCAGCTTTGCCAACCAGGAAGCAGCGTTTCAAAGATCAGGAGTGGCAGTGAACCAAAGTAAGCTCCTCACATAGCATTTTCGCACAGAACATATGTTGTTCTTTTCCACCCTCTGCCACAACTTTAATGTTTCCTCAAACTAGATCAACTGCAAAGCGTTTCAGAAAATCCAAGAATTAAAACCTTATCTTCCAAGTAAACAGACCCCCTTGAACTATCCACCTGCTATATATTTCCACGGGCTGTCAAACCACCACTGGAAAAGTCTCATTCCCCTTGGAAGAGTCACTTTTGAGCAAGGTCTTACGCTCACCCTCGGAATGTGTCCAGGGAACGCAGCCGCTGCCGAGAGGCTGTGCTCCACAAACGTGGGGTAGGATCACTGCTAACAGAGTCTGCTGTGTTCGGGGACCCCAGCTCCTTTGGGAAGAAACAAGACACGTGAAGGGCAAGTCAGCAGCTGCATCAGCCGCCTAGGGAACAGAGGTCAGCAAACTGCAAACTTTCACCTGCTGTGTTTGTCTTTGTTCTCCCCATCCTCCTCTTCCTTTTGTTTCCCCACTTGCTACTTCTAACCCCTTCATGGCTCCACCATATTGCAATAATATTTGCAGATGCTCCACACTCCACCTTTGACCAGGGTGGAAACAACAAATGAGGTGAAAAGAGGTTTGAGACTCATGAGAGTTGGGTCCAGTCCAAAGCAGCCACAGACTTGCCATCACTGTGAGTTCTGCTTCACAACTGAGCTGAGCAGATCCAGTTGCTGACTCTCAAACAATCCATCCCATCCTCTCAGCACTTGTCTGACACCATGGAGAGATTGTTTAGAGAGCTAAACCAGCAGAATCATTTTAAATGCAGGAGTGGCTGCTTTCCAGTCGAGTTCTCTAAATCGCTGTTATCAGCCCCAGTGACAGCATAAGAAGCAGACATCACTGTAACATGGCTACGGGGATGAACAACTACAAGGACTGCTGCAGAGCTCTGCTCCCAAGTCTTTTGATTCTAGACAGGTTTGGACCTCCTAGATGTGAAGCCCAGATTGTGATGATCAATCTATATTCTAGTCCAAAACACGGGTCACATGGCAACGCCAGCTCTAGGGCTGCCGGAGAACTCGACTGAAGTGTAGATCCTGCTAGAAAGCTGACATTTCTTCCCTTCCCGTACATTGTCTATGTCAGAAGGGGACAGTATTTCCACCAACATGTTTGCTTCAAGGGAACTAAAGAGGGCTCAAAGCTGTATGTTCAAGACTTGCAAGAGCTCTACTGGGAATCCACTAGAGTTGCATGGAAACCCAGTCCAGCACTCTCCATTGATATAAAATTGCCTGCCTGACATCAATATAAGATTTTCCAAAGAGAACATGCACCAGGGGAGGATGATTAGCAATAAACAAGTCCCCAGATGTCTGGAGAGCGTGTGTTCCTCAGAGATGAAAACACAACAGAATGCAAATTAAAGATACTGTGGTCACTCACAGAATTAATCAGGCGATCAGTTTCTCTGGGGTTCAGTTTCTTGTAAACCCAGTTTCTGACTGGATCAATTCTGAAAATTAGTAACAGTTTAAAACATAAAACAAACCAATACTTTGTAGCCAATTTAATCTTAATACCAACTATTTAGCAGCATAAACCAGAAGTTGGGATAGTCCCTATTTCTGTTTTCCCAGCTCACGTGTGTAATACTGATGTTCAGCCAGTACTCGGGACCTCAGTTAAGTGCAGCAATGTAATTACACCACCACTAGCTCAGGTCTGGGGGCTTTATTCTCGGGTTGTTGGCAGGCAGGGATGACTCATGTTATTCAGTACACAGGATGGAAGGCTGCCTATGCTACACACGCTAAGGTCCCGCTGGCTTGTACTGCTGATTCAGGGCTAGACCCGGGACCAAGTCATGGGTGGGTGAGGCAGCGTGTGTGCGAGCTTACAGGGGACATCAGCTGCTCTGCAGCAACCGCTCTACACACAAGCTAACAAGGCTGCAAGAGATCCCTCAAGGGAAATTGTATCACTCTGTATTTATTATCAGACAGCTAGCGCAACTTAACTTGCACGTGGCAACCTGGTAACAGGATCTGATCTGCAAGCAGGGCTGCAGTGGGACTCTAGAAGCATTACCACATGCGTGTTTTTAAACTGGTGGCCCCACTTCACTTGCAAGGAGGTATTACAATACTGTTCACTTACTTCATAAAAAGGTGCCAGACAATCAGGATAGCAAGGATCCCCATGTAAACCAGGAGAGCAAAGAGAATAGCTACATGAAAGACAGAAGAACACAACTCTATAAACGATCTGACAAAACCATTCAGCAGCCTGGGCTTGGCCAAGCATGACACAAACATGACAAAAAGCCCAACCCACCAATCATCGCACCACCTTCTCCATGCAACACATATCCCTGGCCTGAGTCCCAGAGTGAAAAAAAAACACAACAAAACCCCAAAACAATCCAAACCAAAAGCACGCTAGTTTCAAAATGCAGTTCAATGACCGCACATCTCAGCATAAAAAAGGCAAAATAAAATCACACTGCTGGAAAACTGGAAGGACTGAGGAATAGCTGAACGTAAAGAATGGAAGAGACGTTGATGGGAGTTTGAAACAGCCTTGAAAAAGAGATGAATATCACAATGTGAGGTTTAAAATTAAAAGTGCAACAACAAAAATACAAACACTGTATGAATTGTTTCCCATTTTGTGAGAAAAGAAGAACAGAAAGAAGAAGAGGGAGGATTCTGTTTACATAGAGAAACATGCAGGGAAGCAGGAATTAACTATGGAAATATCTGTCTCCTCCTGGACACATACCCACTGATTTTTCTGGGCTAATCCCTGCTGCAAAAAGGTTGTGGTCATGCAGTATATCATGTGAAGAGGTCTGATCCTGGTCAGGGCCTCAAGACAGATGTATAAAACGTAAGATGCTGAGAGAGGAGCAAGCCCATGACACATCTTCAGCACAGCATGGGTGGCTGCATAAACCTTTTAGGAGGTTGGTTCTGCTGGGAGACATGCAAGTTGTAGAATGAAAGGGGAAAACAGAGCATTACATACGGAGGTAGCTGTTGATAGGGCCTTCATTGATGACTAGGTCACAAGAAACAGTTTTGGTGCTTGTACTTAGGGTCTTTACCACAAGGGAGTAATTGCCAAACTCTCCAAAATGATACTGAATCCTGCAAAGGATAGAGGAAATGAAACTTGCTGAGCCATCACCGCTATGAGCAGGCTACCACGGCAGCATCTGGGGGGCTGTAAGCTTGAATTCTTGTAGGAAAGGCAAGCTGAAAACTCGGCCTAACAGTGTGATCTCTCAAGGAGCTGCCTGGCTCTGCCTTTGCCAAGCATTACCCTCCCTTACCCAACACAGATGCTTTACCACACATGCACTGCCTACTACGTCACCAGTCTTCTTGAACTACAGACTCTGCAAGAGAAACCAGGTGCTCGCACACGCTGGCTCAATGCACACCATTTTGGCTCTTGCTTGTGCCTAGATACTTTCAGCACAATTACAGTGTACGCCACAGGTTACAGAAGCAGGGGGGAAGACTGAAACCTAGGTCTAAACAGTCAGGAAAAAGAAGGTGATGGGCAGGCAATAAATAGGTGCACGACTTCCAGGAAAAAAAAAAAAAGCATAGAGCTATCCAGGTGTTCACTGGGGCTGGGCCACATACTTGCAGAGCTCTCTGTCATCCACAGAGCTGTTGAGCCGCAGCGTGAGCGGATGTTGGGTATCAACCATTACCACTGCTGTGCCCGGTTTGCTTAGGCTCTCGTTGCTTGGTGGGACGAAGGCCAGGAGCTGATACAAGCACTGCGGGAGAAGAGGGTGAAGGGAGCTCGTGAGGAGGGTGAAAGGGGATCCTGCTTCGCGCAGCGGCACGGGGAATGCCAAGGGAAGCTGCCGAGGGGCTGGAAGGTACAACCAGAGCCAAGGAGCCTAGCAGAGCCCCGGGGGAGCGCCGGGAAAGCCCGGCCGCCCCGCCGAGAGCCGGGGCAGGGCTGGCAACAGCAGAGACCGGGGAGGGGGTGACCCGCACAACCCCTCCGCCGCTCCCTCCAGCTCACCTGGTGGCAGGAGCCGGAGAGGGCGGCGAGGCGGAGGCCCTGCGCGGGCAGCTCGTTGCGGACGAGCAGCAGGGCCTGGTCCATCCGCCCCGGCGGGGAGGGCCGCTCCCCCGCCCCCGCCCCGCCGCGGGGCCCGGGCCCGCTTCCCGCCGGCCGGGCCTCGCCGTGCGGCTGCGTGAGCCCCGGTGCCATCAGCAGCGCGCCCAGCGCCGCCGCCGCCGCCACCGCCGCCGCCGCCGCCGCCATGTCGCTGCGCTCCGCCCCGGGGCGGTGCCGCCGCCACCGCCGCCTTTTCCGGGGTCAAGCGTCCCCAGCCGGGGCGGCCGGCGGGCCGGGCCCTCCTGTCTGGAAAGGCGGGGGGATGAAGCGCGAAGCGGGCGTCGAGCTCGTAAGCCGCTGTTCACAGCCACCGCTGGCCCTTCCCGTAGGCCGCGGGCCCAGGACCGCCGGGGCCTGCGAGGCAGCTGCGTGGCCCGCAATGAGAAGACCCCGCGGACGTTCATCCCCGGGCTGGGAAGAGGGTCCTGTTTAGCCTCCGTCTTGCACGGAGAATGGAAAAGAAACCCCACTTCGTTAGGAGGGAGTTTCCTCCCAGGGAGGTGCCGTCCCTCTCGCTGGCGGTACTGCTTGCGGCCATCCTGCTCCTTAATGCCCTGCTCTACCTGTACCTCAACAAGTTCTACATCTCTTCGGGACGTGCCGAAACAGACCCCAGCCTGTGCCCTTTTGGGTATTTCAAATTAGGAGCGATGAAGAATTGTTCCCCATGGCTCTCCTGCGAAGCCATAAATAGGGAAGTCAGGAAACTCAAGTGTGTTGGTGAAGGCGCTGTGAAAAAGGTGAGTTTGGTTTTCCTTTCTTGTCTCCCGTGGATAAAAAGCTTTCACTGTTTGCTGGCTAATTAATGCCCATACTGCTGTTAAAATTATCCTTGCAGCAGCTAATTACTGTAGACATCCAGGGACATATGGCTACTGATAAGGTGCACAGAACATGTAGGAGACTGTGACTGGAGCCTTGGGCCACCTCCCTGACACCGAATGACGTTCAGCTAAGCAAAACCAGAGACCGGTGAAGCGCTCGTGGAGCGTGCTACAATCATGGCAGAATAAAACTTGCCGGTTGGGTAGTATGAAATAAATCTAATTCATCTGCATTGCCTTTCCAAAGAAAACATAGGAAATCGTGATGTAATTATGACATTGGTAGGGGCTTGCTGTGACAGGTACATGGCCCTACCGAAAGGCTCGGCTGTGCCTGGTGACTGTAATTTGCAGCTGTGAGTAGCAGTCACTCGGAGGTCAGCGGCAGCTGGTAGCAGTTGGTGGAAGGCTCTCCACATGTCTTACGTGTCTCTTGTGTGTTCTCAGGTCTTTCTTTCTGAGTGGAAGGAAAACAAAGTGGTCCTTTCACAGCTCACCAACTCAGAGCTGAAGGAGGACTTTCTCCACGGACTGAAGATGCTGAAAGCACTTCAAAGCAAGCATGTTGTCCGGCTGCTTGGCTACTGTGAGCAGCAGTTCACAATCCTCACCGAGTACCATCCTCTAGGCTCCCTGAGGGGCCTGAATGAAACTCTCCACATCCCCAAGTACAAGGGCATAAACACGTGGCATCGCAGGTTGATGCTTGCCATAGACTACGTGAGTGTCATTCGGTACCTGCACAGCAGCCCTCTGGGCACCTTAGTGATGTGTGACTCGAATGACCTGGACAAGGTCCTCTCTCAGTATCTCCTAACAAGCGACTTTCACATCCTGGTGAATGATTTGGATGCTTTGCCTGTTGTGAACAGGAGCGCTGGCAGGCTGGTGAAGTGTGGTCATCGGGAGCTCCGGGGAGAGTTTGTAGCTCCTGAGCAGCGTTGGCCATATGGAGAAGAGGTGCCCTTCGAGGATGACCTCATGCCTCCTTATGACGAGAAAACAGACATCTGGAAAATCCCAGATGTCTCCAATTTTTTCTTGGGCCACGTTGAAGGGAGTGACATTGTGCGACTGCATTTGTTTGACATCCATGCAGCATGTAAGAAGAAGGACCCAGCTGAAAGGCCTTCTGCCCAAGAGGTTTTAGACACCTACAAGAAAGTTTTAACTCTGCTCATCCGAGAGGCAGCCATGCCTGGTACTAGGGAAATGTTATAGTGAATCATGAGACAAACAACATACCGAAGTTGACGTCCTTCTTATTTATTTAGTTTGCCTGCAGGGCAAAATCTCTGTCCCCAAACTGAGAACAACTGAGCTTGTAACTTATGATTTAAAAAAAGTAAAATCCACCCAGTGCTGGAGCTGTGCAAGCTTCCCGTTGGCATGTTTCATCTACCATGGGAAGAGGAGGAAGGAGAGAAATGAAGTTGTGTGGGTGTGGGGGGAAATTAATTCCTTAAGAAACAGCAAATTTTCTTTTGCAACATTTACACAAAAACTCTCTTTAAAAAAAATTACACCAAAAAAAGAAGTTAGAAAAAAAATGGTCCACTTAAACTGTCAGAGGACTGGAGAGCAGAGTCCATGGCATGTCCCCCACAAGCTTTGTGCTGATTCCTGTGGCTTTGGCCCATGTCTTATCCACAAAGCCCTCATCCACTTCCCCATGGAGTAAAAGCAGTGGTCACTCAGAAAGGAATGCCTCAGTTCGCTTCAGATTTTGGTGAACCCCAATGCCAGAGCCCCAACAGCAGCCCTGCTCTGCTGGATGGGGAATAGGTTGCTTCTGGAGCTGTAGGGCCACTGCTTCATGTGCCCCGTATCCCACGCCAGCAAGCATGCGGCCACTTTGTAAGCAAGCAGATGATGGAGATCCTGAACAAACTGCTTGCAGACACAGGCTTTTGGTTTTCAAGCCTTTGCCTGGTGGTATTCTCAGATGCACTCTTCGGAGATGAAGCTGTAAAATAGGAGTCTCTTGCTCTTTTTTAATCCACAGAAATCCTGAGCACTTTAGAAAGAGCTGAAGCATGTAATTTTTAATTCACTTATCCTTGCTGAGTGTCATTGTGACTCAATGGAAGGGGAGAGAACAAGGAACTGAAAGACAGTGTGACTTCCTTCCACAACAATGAACATTAAATGTGAGCTTTGGAAAATAAAAGCCCTATATTCAGACCATACAACTCTATTGGGTCTGAATTCAAAGCCCACTAAGCATAAAGAAAGGCTGTTTTTTTGTTCAGTGTGTTTAGGATAAAGTTTTTGGTACCTACATGGATGTTACAACCTGGTACCAACAGCTGGAGAGGAAGAATAACGATACCTTAATGCAGCAGTAGGCTCTGTTTGGTGGGATTGGGATATACTTGTTCTCTGGTGAAAAAACACGAATACTATGAATAAGACACATGGACTTTACCACTACGCACCTGAGGACTTTCTGTTTTGTGGACTAGGTCTTTGAAAGACCTAAGGGTCTGAGATGACTTTCATGTTTTGACTTGAGAGGTGATTTGTAAGCAGAGAAGTACATGATCCTTTCCGCTGAAGAGTTTGTTTCTGTTCTTTTCTGTGCTGCTATTCCTCTTCACCTAAACAAACTGTGTTATGACTGCACTGAGAACATGCAGTCAGTTTGTATACATAACATTCAAACACGTGTGTTCTATTCCTACCAAAATTTTATTATAAATGGGAAAACTTTCCTGCAAATGACTAAATTCATACCTGATTTCATACAGCAGGGACCCTTTAAAGGCTGTTAATTATGGCTTTCTTTTCCTTCGGGGCAGTCTCTATTTTCTTAAATTAGCTAATTTTTGCCATTTTTCACTTGTGCACTTCCTTCCTGGCAGCTTTCCTGCTCAGGTTGTCAGGAAGGAAAGCTCAGAAGTCAGGGTCTCCAAAAGAGAACAATGATTTTGGACGCTTGCTGTTTGTTTTGGACTTTGACTCAAAATACCTTAAAGAATCCTGGGGAAAAAGAATGCTCTCTTGTAATTGCATCATCCAGTCCACGAACTCTTGAGTTGTTATTATTAGGGTTAGAGTTCTACAGTTCCAGCATGAATCCAGGATATGCAGCAGTTGGAAAAGCATCCTGTTACAGCTCCTCAAAGCCAGGGATCAAGTTTTGAAGGGCCAAGAGTCAAATCTTTTGCATTGTGCCCCCAGCAATAACTTGTTACCTCATGTATACTTGAAAGAAAAATCAGCATCTGATGGCTGTGAAGTAAACATACCATGCATTTTTTACGACAATAGCAAAGACAGGCAAGAAGAATCTGACAAGCTTCTTATGCTGGTCTCTCTTAGTTAAAATAAGCTTCTACTTGGATTCTTGCTCTGTCGTGCACCTTGCAAACAGCCATATTAATTTCACAGAGTGAAAAACACGAGGACAAATTCTGGTTCTGAATAATTATCATGGAGATGTTTCTCTCTGCATCTGGATGAAATAGTTACTTTTTCTTTTTAACAAAAGGTGTCTCCCTAAACATTAAGCCTGAGCAGTGGGTCCTCCACATGTCTCTTCCCTGTTTCCTCCCCTTCATCCTGTATGTTGTCTTTCCTCCCCTTCATCCTGTGTGTTGTCCAGCACTGTATTTCAGCAGGAATAAATTACATTTGTTCTAAATACAGCATTACAGAGCTTCAAAGTTTCTTTTCTGGAATGTTGTTTCTGTCTATGAGGAAACACTAGATGGCAGCATGAAGGTCAGCTTAGCATTAGGTATTAGCAGTGGCAGTCTCATGCCCAAACATAGCCAGGATGTATGGCCTTGGAACCAGTATTTTGCCAGCAAACTTCCATAAGCCCATAAAAGATTTCATTAGCTTTGCATTAGCAAGTCTGTAGTAACAAGACAGATAGATACAAAGGCTGACAGAAGAGCCACACATGCCAGTTGAAGGGGCTACCTCCCGTTGCTCATGGATTTGTGTGCTTTATTGTCCCTTTTAATCTCAATCTGGTGCAACCTCAACCAAGTTTGAGTGTCACCTCCTTCCAGCCTTTCAGTAAAATCAGAGGAGTTTGCACCCTCTCCATCTTTGCATTCTTCCCCACTAACCCCTTCCACAATCTCAAAATTGCATGAATCCCATCCTTCCCACATTTCTAGCTTCTTTTCTCTTAAAGAGGCAAGGCCTCACGGAGAGGGAAAAAGAGGCAGGACAGCCCTACATGCAGTTCCCTCCCCTTTTTCCGATTCTCTCTGCTGCTGGGCATTTCAGTCTTCACCACCAATGACAGCCTTGGATAAACATTCGGAGTCTTTGCTGCCTCAGTACAAGCAGCTCTTATATGTCTGGTGGAAAGCATCAAAGAATGAACAGGAAGAGGCCTGTTCACAGCTGCAAGCCCGCAAGCCCCTCTCTCCTCATCCATGTCCCAGCCAGCACTAGACCAGTGGATATGACCTCCCCTGCCAAGACCACTGCTCTGCCTAACTCAACAACAGCTGCTGGTTCTCATCTCAAGCTCAAATCAGGGACCCCACATTCCCTGTCCTTTCTCACAAAAAATGTTTCTCCTGGGATGGTTATTTCTTCACTCTGTGGGTAGTGAAGCGCTGGCACAGGGTGCCCAGAGAAGCTGTGGCTGCCCCCTCCCTGGAAGGGTCCAAGGCCAGGTTGGACGGGGCTTTGTGCAACCTGGTCTAGTGGAAGGTGTCCCTGTCCATGGCAGGAGGGTTGGGTTGAACTAGATGATCTTTAAGGTCTCTTCCAACCCAAACCATTTGTCCTGGTAGGGGCTGGCCTAGAGCTCCCGTTGGTCTGGCAGCGGGAGGAGCTGCAGCACCCTGAGAGCCCAGGGGCTCCCCAGGTCCGAGTGCCCTCACCTGTGTGCGGGGGCGGGGGGAGCACAGCTGGAGGGCTGGGCCCCGATTGGCCGATAGTCCATGTCATGTGACATTGCGCTCACTATATAAAGGCAGGAGTGGGCCGGGAGGGGCTGCCACTTCCGGGAGTGGTGCTGGGGAGCCTTGGTGTTTGGGATCACCGGCCGGGAGCAGGCGGGTGGTGAGCAGCTGTGTGGTACATTACCCGTTGATCCCGGTGTCACCGTATTATTCTGTTACTGTTAGTAAACTGTTTTTATCTCAACCTGCGAGTCTCCCTTTGCCCCTCTGATTCCCTCCCCATTCCCAAGTGGGGGGAGGGTGGGTGAGCGGCTGTGTGCCGTTTAGCTGCTGAGTAGGATCAAACTACACCACCATTCTATGATTCTATATGATTGACAGGTTTCCTATTGTATCCCTGTTCCTCTATCCCAAAAGTCCATCCAAAGAAGCTGCACAAAGACACAGGCCACGCAAGAAGGTCTGCTATTGGTGCTCAGCTCCTTCAAGAACGTCCAGAGGAGGCTCCCCAAACCACCCTAGGCGGTCAGTGTCAAGGCAGATATGGTCCAAGTGGTCCCAGGGCTTTTGTCTGCTGCCACCACCAAGACGAAGGCCTTGGGTCTGGCAGCTTGCCCAGGGACAGGACAGCCCTTTTGCTGAGGTCAGTGATTGGCATCACCTTGCCCTTCCCTTTTGGGCAATGCCTCCTCTGCCATCCCTGCAGCAGTCCTGCAGCACACCCTGCCCACCCCATCCAACCAGATAGACAAAGAACCAAAGCAGAGACTGTCTCCCAAACTCAAGAAATAGCACCTGGTTCTCACACTGAACCCCCCCCAGACACTGCTGTGCCAGAAGTGGAGGACACAGGGAGACCCAGGACATGCCAGCGGAGCCTGCCGACAGTCTGGCTGTGGGTGCCAACTATGTCAAGGCAGCTGGACCCACTACTGGTATGGTATGCTCTACCCTTGGTGCGATGCTGTTGCCAAAACAAAATCCCAGTGGATTTCCCAATAAAGTTTAGCCCTTACCACGTAGGTTTGTATCACAGAATACAGAATGGAAACAGCCTGTCTCAGAGCAGAGTCTCAGATTCAGTTCAAGCCCACTGCTCCTTTTTTTTTCTCCTCAGAGTCATCCAAAGAATAGCACTGTCAAGGTTATGCTGTTTTCCTTTCCAAATTGCTTGCTGGCTGCAGGCTTCTGGGTGGCTCAAGTCTGACGTAGCATGTTTCCCTTTGTTGTGGGTTTCAGACTACATCCTAAAAGCACTCCTGTAACACTAAATTCTGTACAGGTGAGCCCTTATGGCAACTCATCCCTATGTCCAACACCATCAGATATAAAAAGTTTGGCATGCATATCCACACCAGCTGCTATGCAGGTCTGGGTAAACGCTGAGGAAAAAAAATGGACACAACCTCTTTAACTGAACAGAGTTGGGTTTTTCATTCCCTTTTTTGAAGGATACTTTTAAAGTCTGTGTTACACTGTATTTAATGGAGAGGTAACTATTAAGTTTATCAGAACTTTAGGACACCACACAAACTTTTTGAAATCCTATCACAAGCTCTAAAACAGTATTTTCCTTTGGTGCCACATAAACAAAACATCGGATCATTATCTTTGTGAAACAGAGGCAGTGCTGTTTGCCAAATATAATTTGTGAGATATTTGGCAGAATTTGCAACTGTAAACCGATTCTATCATTATGACTGTAATGTCTTACCAACAGTCAAGAGACCCTGGGAACAAGAAAAAAGTGGTTCTCAAGTTCTTCTAGCATGATATAATGCGTATATTTGTAGAGTTCATCCAAATAAATTATATGCTAGATGGTACTTTTAAAAAAGAAAAAGGATTTTATGGTTTTATTTTAATTGAAATACTGTATACTTGAGATGACCACATGATTTCCAATAATTGTCAGTCTGTGTTCTGAAGTCTATAATCCAGTATTTATCAGGATTAAATGGTGAATATATTTACATTACAGTGATATTTATGTCTCAGCAATTTCTGATTCTGTTTAGCTCTGGGTAACTCAAAATCCATTAAAAATTATATATTTATATATAGCAACACACACAGATTTTTTTGGCCCTGATTTTCAAAAGAACAAGCTTACTGTTAGATTCCAGCATTCACATTTTGGATACGAAGTCACTGGATTTTCAAAACTGATAATATTCAGCAGCTTTCAGTCAAATTTATAGCAGTTGCTGGATGCTAAGTACTTTTGGAAAGTGAATTATTTCCTTGTAGAGGTGGAAGATCCTTTTCAGCGATTCTCTTGATAAATCTATGGGACTGAAAGTGAGTGCTTTTATCAAGCACACACTAGATTTCTTTGTGGAACAAACAAAGTTCCCACTTTTGTAAAAGTTGGGCATTTTTTTTTTTTTTAATCAAATCAGGCAGCTATGTGTTTTTCTCCCCAAGAGCTGGTTCATGTGGGGGGCTGTGTCTGACCCATAGCTGAAACTCCACAGACTTATTCACTACTGTGTAATGTTGAAAATGTAGCCGCTAAGCTTGGGTCGCCATTAGCTGCCTTTTGCCAGAATAGTTTATGCCAATGCCATATATTATTACATATTATTTGTTTGCTGCCTACATGCTTTGGTCACAGGCCAGGATCCTGGAGGTCAGATGCTATACAGGCACACCACAAAATGACAGTCCTTTCCCTACAAACAGCTTTAGAAAAGAGAAATCAATGGATGTCTTCATGCATTAACAGCATATACAAGCGCTGGTTTCTCCATCTCACCTCATCCAAGCTACAAATAAATATGCTACATAATCTACACAGACAGGTCACACCATTTATTGCGCACCTAATGACAACTGCAAGGCCTGACTTTGCTCTGACCAAATTCAACAGCAGCTTGCATTCCCATTTCTGAACGTGTTTCAGGAGCCTAAGACTGACACAAAAGCAAACAACAGTGTACCAGGAGAGGCTAACCTAGGTTTAAGAGTCAACCAGTTTTGGTATTTGAACGAGATTCCTCAAGGAAGTCACGCAGAAGGCCTACACCCCCAGAACTCCTACTGTTACAGGCCAGCAAGTGGGAGATAACCCCTTTTTATCAGGTTTGCAAGGCTGTCACACTCACTGCAGTGCCAGATGTTGTGCTTCTCAAACTAACCCTGTTCTGCTCACTACTTACCATTTGCTAACTTCAGAGGGGCATGTGGGGAAAGAAAATCTCTTTCTGCCCATCTTCCAGGTTGAGGGTAGGTGGATTATCTAAGCCTTAAATTGAGCATTTAATTAAATCAAACAAATCAAGCAAGCACCTGCTGAGTGAGGCAGAGTCTGTTCCTGTGCTCTGGAGGCTGCAGAGAAAACCGCAAGACCTGAAGTCATGCTTTGTGGGCACAGGCCTTTGTTTCCTCTGGACAGGAAGCTGGCTGCAGAGTCCTGGAGTGTTCCAGCCCCTTCCCATGTTGTCCAGAGCAGAGCTGCAGGGTTAATATAAAAAGCGCCTTCAGATACAGCTTAAACACAGCTTCTCTACATCCCATACAAGGGAGCCTGATCTCAATCGAGGCCTAGAGGTAGTAGTGAAATATACAGAGCACCCAAGTTACTTATGTTTACTCTTTCCACTTTTCTTCCACAGATGTGTAATGCTTTCTTCTCAGGCCTCTAGCAGAAAAGTTCAACATACCAAAAAAGCAAACAAAAACCCTCAACTTCATGAGAAACTGTTTAAAATCCCTGTGAAACCATGCTTAATTAACTGTCTTGTGTCATGTTGCATAAGTGATAGATGCTTTTTTTTTTTTTTTTCTCTTAGTGGTTTCCACAGTTCTGTGCATGGGTGCCATCCTGATTTAATAACCTAGAATTATGTCTAATTGCTGTTCTACTCTTTCCCACACCATGTGGGGCAAGGAACTTTTCTCATGATAACAGTGCCTTAGCTTTTTGTTTTTGTATATTAGCATTTTCACTCATATTCCTTTATGCCCTGATCTGAGGCTTTTTAAAATGAATCTGTTCCATAGCATGGACAGAAAATGACTTGGCACACCTTGCACTGAGAAAATGACTCCCCAAAGGACAGTTTCCCCAGGCTGATTGGACATTTGCAAAGCCAGTGCCATCCAAGCAAGGTGCCCAGACTCCCTCAGTTAAGGGGTCAGAGGGCTCCCTGGGCACAGGACTCATTCTGCATGTCTGACATAGGTTAGCTAAATCATGCCCTACAAATGCTTGTTTTTTCCCTATTGTCTTATAAAGGGTAAAGACAAATAACTGCAACATAAGCACATATCTCAGATATGTGTAAAGCAGAGTGAGATGAACTGTATCCATAAAGTCTACACTGTAATAATTCTAGTATCTGAAGGAAGATAAGGTAAAAGGATCTAAAGGATCTATCAGGGCCAGAGGTTGATAGAAAGAAGCAGGAGAGTATAAAGGATAGCACATCTAACCTATCAGGTAGCTCTAACATGCCACATCAGACAGTACAAAAAAAAAAAAAAAAAGGCATGTATGTGTGTTGGAACACCCTCTGCCTAATCAATCTGCATCTCATTAAGCAGCTCAGACAACTTTCTAAGTTTCTAAACCGAAGCTCTTGCTCTGCTCCACCTTTTCTGACATAATCCTAGAATTGTGCTTCTTGGCATCAGGAGCGTATAGAGCATAGGAGTACACTGTGTCGCTCCAGCATCTGAATATCCAGCAAGTCCCTTTGTAGCACAATTAAAAAAAAAAAAAAAAAAAAAAAAGGAGGCAAGGTTTTCCAGAAAGCGCTGTTTCCATTTTGACAACCTAAACTCTCAAATTTCGTTCCTGTGTGAAGAGCGAAAGCTCGTGACAAGCTGAACCTCTTTCCTCCCTCGACACCACGCACTGCGGAGCTACGGCCCACACGATCCCACCGTCACAGGGCGAGCCCCGGCCCACGCGGGTGAAGCTGCTCCCGCCTCCACGCCCGCCAGGCTCGCGGAGGTGCGGGAGGCACCCCTCGCTGGCCTCTGCCCGCCCGCACCTTTCTCCTCAGACGCGGGCACCGTAACAGCCAGACGACTTGTTCTATTTCTCCCCCCACCCCCCTCCGGCGCCTGCATCCGCTGGGGGAGAAGCCGTCCCCATCTTACGCCCTCTCCCCCCAGAGATTCGAGTGGAAGCAAAAGCGCGGGGAGGAGCGCCCCGAGCCCACCCTCCGCCCTTCCCCTCAGGGCCGCCCCGAGATGGCGGCCGGGCCTCGGCACCTCACGCCGGCCTCGGCGGCTCGCCTGACGTCACTTCCCGCCGCCACGGGGCCGCCCCTAACGGCCGCTCTCCCCCATGGCGGCGGTGGCGGCTGCCGGGGGGGCGGGCGGCGGCTCGGCGGCGCTGGGCGACAGCGGTGCCATCGACTACTCGGTACACGAGGCGTGGAACGAGGCCACCAACGTCTACCTGCTGGTGGTGCTGGCCAGCCTCGCCCTCCTCGTCTACGCGCGGCGGTGAGGGGAGGCCGCGGGTGGGGGGGGGCGGGGCGAGGGCTCCCGCCGGGAAGCGGCCGCGCCCGCCCCACGTGTAATCGCGTCGGTGGGGCCGCGCCGCGCTTCTCACCGCCTTGCGCCCCCCCCCGCAGGAACAAGAGGAGGATCATGCGCATCTTCACCTTGCCCCCGGCCGCCGCGACGCCGCCCGAGCCCAACTTCTACGACAGCATGAAGAAGATCCGCCTGCGGCAGCAGCTGGAGATGTACTCCATCGGTAAGCCCAAAGGAGAAAGGGTCCCCGGCCCCCCGGGGCCAGCGGGGTTACCGGGGAGGATTGGTGCAGGGGGTGGCCTGGTGCAGCGGGGACACCAGGGCGGAGGGGGGCCCGGGCCTGCGGCACCACGCGAGCTCGGCGGGAGCGTGGGGCTGAGGCGTGAGGGAGCGGCCGTGCGGCGCTCGGCTGGCTGCCAGAGCGAGCCGGTGTCAAAGCTAAAAAGAGCTGGGAATATCTGAGTGTTGTCAGAAGCGTGTATGGAATTGTGAAGGTCGAGAGGGCTGGGGAATCACGAGTAATTCGACTTCGTAAATTGAAAATAAATGAGAATTTTACTGAACCAACAAGTGTTGCTGCTCCCATCTCGGTGTTGAAGGTCAGGATGGGTATAGGAATGAGCCCCATGACTGTGATACTCCAGAGGGCTAATCCAGAGAAACACCCCTACTTGCTTCACATCTGCCGTACACGCATGCCTAGAGAGAAGATGGGCAAGAAGTACTTAATGAGTTGAAACCACCTTTTAAATATAAAGATTAATGTAAAGAGTCTTAAACCAGGCCATCGAATTCTATAGGAACAAAAAAGGATGTGCTTCCTACGGAGGAATGCCTGCTGGCATTTGTTGCAGGTGGTTGTTGCACACCGAACACAACTTTTTGATCTCCTTTGCCTTTTTCTAACCAGATTAATTTTGAAGTCAGTGTAGTTGTTAGCTTGTGGCTTGTATATTGTGGAGGAGATGAGTGATGTGGAGATCAGCTGTGTGACTAATGAGTTGTTCAGGTCATCTGTAAGAATTACTTCTGAAGCCATAGTCTTTAATTTTTTTTGTTGTTAATTAAAAGACCTGAATGGAGCCATAGTTCTCCACCATTAATTTATGGACATTTTGCTTTGACCCTGCTGTTCAGCCTTTTCAAGGCCATACACTAAAGGACTAGTTCCACGCAGTGACTAAAACTTGACCTTGTGTGGCTAAATGGTGAAATTACATTCTTTAATCTCAAGTCTATTTCTTGATTGTTATCATATTTATATGTGTATATATACAGATATATATACATGTATAGAATAAATGGTATAATTGGTGTTGATCAGTGTTTCTTTTTTTCAGCAAGGAAGTATGAACAGCAGCAGCAACCACCAAAACAGACTGAAAGCGTACAGCTCTCAGTGGAATGAAGCCCACAATTGTAGGAACTCAGGATATATTTCCAGTGCTGATGATGAGAGTCAGTGTGGAGCTATTTTCAATGCCTCTTAATTGATACATAGCTGAAGGCAAGAGGGAAAGGGACTCTCCTAAAAACTTTGGTCTTGGTAGCTTTTCTCTGAGCCCTGTGAAGTAAACTGAGTCCCTACTGAAACAAGCAGCGTGGAAGTACCCAACACAGGGCAGACTGGCTCAGAGAAACCTCTGAGGGTAGAGAAGTTCAGTCTGACCAATGTTTTAAATTATTCCTCTCTCTGCCGGCACCTTGGAAATCAGCTCCTACCTTCTCTGGTAACGGCACCCTAGAAAAAGCAAGGCAGTACCTATCTGCCTTGGAAACCCTTTTGTTCCATGATGACACACTGTTGGATTTACTGAACGTGTTCAGTAAATGCGAATGAAGATACCGTGGCCTTACTGCCTAGCAGAGGTGAACAGCCTTGAGAGCCCTGAGCGTTGCTGGTGGTAACGCAGGAAGGTTCTGCTCTCCGTGCTTATATGGGGGTTGCGTATGCAATACTGTGAACCTTTACCGCAGAAACTCTCGAGAACCGAGAGGTACATAGTGACTTGCATGTCCAGAAGACACTGAAAGCCAAGACTATAATGGTAATAGCAAAGGTGATTAGCTTAATTTAGTCAAATTGCTTTAAAGCATGGGATTATCTATAAAAATTTGCATAAACAAAAATCTTGGCTTATCTAGAAGAGACGTCACACCCCAGGTTACTTTCTTCTTTCTAGGTAAATCACAAAATCAATTAATTTAAAGAATTCTGCAGAAATTACTTCTTAATAAAAGCATCTAATCATGAAAACTACTTGAAGATGTATCCTGCTGTAATTCCTAACGTTATACAACTCGAGTAGGCTGAGTGCACGCTAGCAAACAGCCCAGGGATCTGGGAGCGTAACCCCAAAAAATGTTTTTTTTTTTTTTTTTGTTTTCAATTCTGTGCCAAAATATATCGAGTCTTGGAGTAGTGGTAAACAGCACTGCGGTTCCATTCAGACACGCCAAAACCTGGCTTTGTTCACAAAATCTTTTTATTAGATTGAAATCACCTGTGCGCTAACATCTACCGGGGCAGTGAGGCAGCTTCAGCGAGCTCGCCCCGTGGAAAGTGGGCTCGTTTGGGCGAGCTTTTGGCCCCCGGGCCGCTCCCTTTCGTGTAGCCGAGGAAAACAAGCGCAACAACCCGGCGGGAGGACGCTCCGCTCCCACGCCGCCCCGGAGGACAGCCCCGGGCCTGCCGGTGCTCGGCTGCGCTGCCCCGCCGCCTCCCGGTATCTCGCTTTACCCCACGTTACTGCGGTCCCGCCCCCCCCCCCGCCCCGTTCCTTACCGGCACTTAGGCGGGCACACCGACGCCTTTCCCGCCCCCCCCCCCCCCCCCCCCCGACCTCACTTCCTGCTGCCGCTTCCGCCTCCGGGGCCGCGCCGGCTGCTCCCGCCGCTGCCGCCGCCGCCGCTCGGAACCGGAGGGCGCCCGCCGGGCGGTGAGTGGGGGCGCCTCTCCCCTCGCCCCGTCCGCGCTGAAGGGAGCGGGGGGCTGGCGGGGGCGAGGAGAGGGGTCCCCGTCTTGAGGCGGGAAGGGGCCGCCCGAGTAGAAAGCGCGGGTGGGGAGGGCCGGGGGCGGGCTGCGTGCTGCCGGGCCGGGTGGGCTTACCGTCCGCCCTCCGCGGGAGGGCTCTCCGCGACCCCGCCCGTGCCCGGCTTCACCCCGCGGGCGTCGGCGGCGTTGTCGGGGCGCGGGGCTGTACCGGGAGCTCAGCCTTCGCATCCCAGCGGCCGGCAGCCCGGGAGCGGGCAGCGCGGGGCTGAGCCCGCTCCCACGGCGCACCTCCCGTACCGCTGCCCGGGGGCTGCGGGCCTCGGCAGCCGCCCGCCGCGGCTCCACGCGTTGCGATGCAGCAGCGTGTCAGAACGAGCCCTTTCTTCCCAGCGTGCTAAACCCAGCCGTCCTTCCTTCCCTCTGTAGCTGGTAGCTCCACAGTTCTCCTCCCAGCTGAGCTGGAAGCGCCGTGAAGCGCTCAGCAGTCGCGAGTGGCTTGCAGCTCCGCTTCTGTTCGTGGGCCTGAGGTAGCAGCACAAGTGTCTCGCAAACTTACTTGTTGAGACAAAACATTTGTAAGGAGAAGCAACAAAAGCAAAAGCTTTTCCAGCGCGCGCACCTTTTGCATTTGCTAGGGCGCTAGAAGAACGCTGCTTGAGCCATCAGTGAAGGGTAGGTAGTGATTTGTTTTCCTGGCTTAAGTGCAGCTATTGAAGTTCTCTCCCAGAACTGTACCCTGTTTTGTTGAGGGTTTTATATTTCAGTTTTACAGTACAGGTATGCTTTGAGACAGAAGGTGCAATCAGCTTTTGAAATCTTACCTCAGATTTCTGCAGTGATTTTTAGTCGCTAATTCACAATATCGTGTGTAGGAAAAAAAGTGCTTTCTTTAATGGGTTGTAAAAAAATCGGTGCCTAGAAGCAAAGGCAGATAGGGTAGAGGCAACAGATCTGGGTTTTTTTGTGTTCGTTCGTAGTCGTCAGGCTTGTGGGCATGCACAGGAGCGGATTCTCAAATGCTCATGGAACTTTGTTCATGCTGAATTATTAGATGTCTGGGATGGGGAAAGCTTGTGACCTTTAAAAAAATTGTGCCAAAGTTATCTTTAGTTGAGTTTATTTTTGGGAATGCTGTACAGAGGCAAGTCTTTCTAGCTTACCCAATACTGTTTAAAAAGCTGTTACGATACGTAGATTTAATGGTGTCTGATCACACAACAAATGCGAGGGAAGGCTTTCGAAGCAGTTAAAGCTTTGCATCTAAAAGGTACTGCAAAAAAAGCATGAACAAGTTGCTCTCAATAACATCTCGGGTGGTTTTGAGAATCTGACCACTCTGTTGTGTCCATGGGAGCTGCTAAACAGTCAGATCTTTGTAAATGCAGTCTTCAGATGGAGTTACAACCATAACTCTATAATCTTACATGAAAACTATAATCCGTTAAGTGGTAGAAAAGGCATCTCCTCATAACTAAATGTGGCTGGCTAAGTTTTATACTCAGTGCTGCACAGAAGATTGAAGCTTTTTGAATAGAGCTTCATAAATTCCGTGACAAGGCTCAAGAAGGTCTTAAGCATTTCTAAGCTGTGAGTGTGGCTGTGTTTGAAGCTGAAGACATTGTAAACTGCGGGCCTTGTAGTGAAAATATCTTCCCCCAGTGCCATGAGCATTTTGAGTTTCAGTCCAATGTTATAAACCCAGAGAGTATGGACTGGCATGTGCTGGCTGAGCCCAGGTGAGGACATAATCTGTAGCAGCTGCAGTGGTGCTTTAGAGCCATAAGAGTTACAGATTTCACCAACCTGGTGCTTGTGTGGTGCTAAAGTTGCTCTCAATCTCTGAAGCTGCCTGATCCATTGAGAAGACTCACAGAGGAAGCCTTTGCTGTTTCACTTGTACTGCTGATGCCAGTAGAAGCTCTGAAAATGGGGAGAAGATCCCAGTGCCTTCATCCGAGGAGGGTTTGCAGGGAAGCTTCTTCAGCCCAGTGCAAAATTATTCATTGAGAATATTCTAACCTATGATGAATCTTTCTTTAATTTGCGTTTTGCATATATGATTAAGCAGTTATTGGCCAAAAGCCCAGTGATGGCACATGGCTCTGGAATGTCTCCCTGTTGCCCGAGCCATTTATTCATGTTAGCTTACTTCCGTGAGCATAATCACTCCTTTTAAAGTCCTCCTGAACTCAGGAGTGCCTCTGCGATTGAGCAAGCTGAAATTATAC